CTTACGGGGATTAGAGGAGCTCCGCGAACTTACGGGTCAGAGATGTTTGGGACGGGGTGCCCGGTGTTTCTGTGAGGTGATCGCAGAAGGGCTGCCGTGAATGAACGGGCATACTTCTTGTTTGTGTCGTCTGCAGGTGGCCCTCCCTTGTCCGGCGAGGACGTCTTCCAAATGACGGGGTCAGCAGCCAAGCATAGCCCATAGCGGATGCTTCAAAGAAGTTCCTTTTTTTGGTGCCTTGGTTTGAAGCCTCTTTGCTAACCTAGAACCCTGATTAAACCCCCTCCTTTTAAGAGCCACAAATTTAGGATCCCTAGTAATCAGGGGTCTAGGTTAGTCACCACTGTGTCATCTTGGGGTCAATCGCAGTTTTCGCGTACTTCTGCAGCCTGTGATATTCGTGCTGTTTGACTCTTGTTGCTAGCAACTCACCTTTGCAAGCTGCAGCTATTGGGCGTCCGCGATCGCAAGAAACCCGACGCCGCTGTCAAGTAAACAACTTCCACATCCCGTTTTGTTGTATATCTTCAGTTTTTCAGACTGTCGCAGACATACTGATTCTTCTTTGTGCTCTTCCTCGCGCTTAATTGCTTCATGGAAGATGAAATGTCTGTCTGGCTTGCTTGCTGGTTTAGACACTGGGAGCCGTTTGCTCCTAAAGACGGCATTCCTTGTCTAGGATTCCCCAAAAGGATGGCGGCATCATGATGAAGCCGAGGGTATCGCTACCGCAAAGACAGATGCATCAGCTTCCCAAAATTGTTCTTAACATACTCGTGGCTGTGATGTGTGAATCACACGACTAGTGCTGGCAAAAGATAACGAGTAAACGAGGACAAGCACAGCTGGCCAACGAAGAGCAGGAAGACGGCGGCGGCGGCGGCGGCGGGGGCGGCGGCGGCGGCGGCGGTGGTGGTGGTGGTGGTGGTGAGATGATCGGCAGCAGCAGTGGAAGTAGTGGTGTGGTACTAGTCAATTACGGCCCGCTGTTTCTCCTTTTGTTGAGACAATGAACCATGTGCCCAGATGAAGGTAAGTGTGGTGGCAGTTATTTTGCTCTTCGTTTCTTTGGGAGGCTTCACATCGAGGGAGCCGCCTGGGCTGGTGAGCAGCTTGCAGTGACTGATGAGCTTGCCGTTGCGGCGGCCTCATCAATAGGGGCTTGTGGGATTGAAGGGGCCCTTGAGTTTTTTGTGGGGGGAGGGCTTAAGAGGATTTAGGGCAAGTTTTGGGCTGGAGGGATTTCAATTCATTTGCTCGTGATCATGAAGAAGCTCACAGCATGCTCTTCACCGTAATGTTCATTCTGCTTCTTCACCGGTAGAACGAGGAGTGGTGGTGACAGCTGTTCTTGTTATTGTTGTCATTATTCATATCAATATCATTACCATTACTCAGAGCTTAGATCTTAACTCTTGCTGCCGTAAGCTCCACGAGCTCAGAAGAAGAGCCACTGAACAGTAAGCTGAAAGCCAGCGCGCCGAGCTGAACAACTCCGCAAATTTCTGCAGCGTTCCCTCATCAGCTATATAGATCCCCAGCATAATCCCCACCTCAACTAACCCAAAAGAAGAGGGGCCCGTGACTCTTGAGAGCTCCTCCCTTGGCTGTGAACACATATCAGCACCCAAGCCACCAAAAACTCATAGCAGCCTCCTGACAGCCTCAGGCCCTGCCCACAGCTTGGCTCCGGTGGGTGCATGTGGGCTCGGCCGAGTGCGGCTCCCCAAAGGGTTGTGAAGAGTTCAGCGTTGTGTGGCTGGGGGGTGTAGGGTCAGAGCTGAAAGTGTTGTGTTTTAAGTTGGGAGTCATGGTTGGTTTAGGGTTGGAGCTTTGGGGCAGAGGTGCAAGAGGCCGATCGTACTCGCAGTCATAGAACAGGAAAGTCACCAACCCGGACCGCGAAGACCTCCCGCAATCTACCCTACAATGGCATTTGCCATTGTTGCATGCATCAGCCTGAAACCCTCAAACTCCAAAGGAGAGCCTTATCCAAGTTGGGACCTGATTCTTAGATTTCTTCACGATTTGGGAAGACCAACCTTTTGAGCGACTTGCGAGGTTCAAGCAGACCGCAGACTACTTGCGCGTTCCTGTCTATCTGAACACCAGCCGAAGTCTGCTCGCCTCAGCCCCAGCCAATCTCTTGGTTTCAAAGGAAGAAGGATGGCAATGAAGCAGTTGTACGACAAAAAGGCGTCATGGCTTTACACTGGCTATTGGGACCCTAGCAGAACGAAAGCTTCCAGACCAGAAGCCACAACACAACAAAGGACAAACACACCTTGGGCTGCTTTAATGCGAGGACTCCTGTCTCACAGAAGTCTTCTGGATTGATATTTCGAGATGCGGGTATTGGCAAAGCGGACGGATTCAGAGATGTTTGGCCAAGAACACCCAGTTGTAATTGACAAGATTCGCAAAGCCGGCTAACTAGTAAACAATTGGGCAAATGAAAAGCTTCTTGGACCCCGGCTAAACCCCGAGCTCACAACCACAAGCCCCGTCACCTCTTGCAAGATCAGCGCCTTCGCTGTGAAATCGCCCAAAGACGTGCCCAACGCTGTGTGGCAAAGCTGAATACTGGGTTGTCCAAGAGTTTTTTTTTGGGGGTTTTGAGGATGATTTGGGATCGTGCGTGCGAGACACAGATGGTTGAGGAGTTTGTCACCCCGATCGTACTTACTGGGTTACGTACTCGTAGGGGTCGTGGCGGGTTCTGTGGGGTGGGTGCGCGGGTTATCTCGACCTTGTAGGCCCTTGCAGAGCATGACTAGCGACTTCAGTGCCGATACCAGTGTCTCAAGGAGTTTGACGCCGTTTTGAAAGAATTGTATCTTGCCTGATCATCATGCCTTAAACCTCAACACTTTAAACCCCAAAAGTTAAAACGAAAGCCCAAACTCCAAGCCCTCGACCCTAAGCCCAAACAGCTCGTCCAAGAAGTGTGGCTTTGGACTTTGCTTCTAACTTGGGGATGCTTGCAGGAATGGAAAAAAGGGGGAAATTTTCAAAATGCTCCAATCGGGTCCGTTCATTTACGAGTCGGCTCAAATACAAGAGACCACACGGACGATGGTGCTTCCATCTTGAGCATATGTACCAGGAGGCAAGTCATTTCCATAGCGAGTGCCGGGTCCTGACATGTTAAAGAGAAGAGGATAATCGGAATCGCTGCTTTGTATCATAAGCTGCGCAATCTCGAGTCGCCCCTGACGCAACCCTTCAAAGAGCTGGATAGCATCACTGAACTCTAGGTATGAACCCCCTACACCCGAAACCCTGACACTGTGCCCCTAAATCTTTCAACCGTACATCCTCAACCCCGAACTGTAATCTTGCTTGCTAGCCCGAATCAAGCGCCCGTTGCTGAGGTGGGTACAGCGAAGTGTCGCCATCACCATTTGGACCAAGCAGTGAGAGAATATATTCTTGAGGTACTCTCGGTATGTGACAACTTTTGTTTTCGTTGTTAAAGCTGCTTATGACCACCACCGGAGTATTGTATTGTCTCCTCTTCGTAGCACGTGTTTATTAGCGCCGGCCGGGGAGGCCGCGCTGTTAACGTCCCCAAAGATTGCAGCGCCCACGTCGAGTGCTTGCGCTGAGCGCTGGCGCGGAGCGCATCGGCTGCACCTGGAAGGGTACCAGCCCTCGGATAGTGACCTGACAGCTCTTGCTGAGCCTTGGAAGAGGATGACAGAGGATGTAGAGTTGAGTAGATATACAGTGAGTTGGCCGAATACAGAGGTATGCTACAATGGCTAGGTAGGAGTCAGGGGAGTCCTCACATGTCAAATGTGACGCAAAGAGCCACTGTTCTTTGGAACGGTACAGCAGCACCAACAGCCCGAATCGCTCAGCAAGAGCTCCGCGGATGATGCGAAGGGAATCGATTCCTGGGAAATGATGCAGTGCCAGACTTGGATTGGGGAGCCTTGGGCAATTCTTGCCATCGTCAACATGATCGGTTTGCTCCCTTGACAAAGTTTGCTTCTTCACGGAATGGCCTTCTTGAGAGTTTGGATAGCAACTGACAGATTTTGGCTCGTCTCTTCCCTTGCAAATAAGAGAGCAAGTTCTTCCTCAAGCAGTCATACATTTGGGGATCTACATTCTTGCAAGCGCTTTGAACATTCTGGTGACTGTTGCCGGGCTTCTGGATTGCTTGTCTCTCTCTGTCTCCTTTCTTGTGGATAGCCTTTGCCGGGTTCTACTCCCCTGGTTCCTCGACTTCTTGGAGGCATTTTGCAGGCCTTGCAGCTTGGGGTATGCATGACTTGGAAGATTGTAGTTGGGCGGGGGCTGTCGCCCAAAACGGGCACGGTCTATGCTAATTAAACCTCCCGAGTAACGCTCAAACCTTAACCCTGACACATAGTCCCTTCACTCCGAATCCAACTGCCCGCGCGGAACCTGCCGTGCTTTCCCGCAGTTTGGCTTTAGTCAGCCGCATTACTTCCCCGGCTGAAGTGCGCCCGGCCAGAGTTTGGTGGTTGGGGCTCAGGAGTGTAGGACTTTGTTGGTCTGGGGTGCAGCTTCTTGTTTGCGTGCGAAGGATCCTGTCCCAGTGAATAGGGCGCTGGGAGGATGTTGCTACGTAGGCCGACGCCATCTTTTTGGGTTGTCTTTGGCTTGTGGGGCATGAGTGGCTTGACAGTGCACTCAGGATTGGCAGGACAGCTCTTGGGATTCCTGTCAAAACCACAATGGGTTTTGTCATCAGACCTCACGAGCCATCACAGAAAGAAGTCGCAACAGATGAGCCCAACTTGGGATGTCATGCGGACAACTCACCAATTCGTGACCTTAGCTCTGGAAAGCACAGGCCCCCCCCCCCCTCATGGAGTCATGGAGCAGCCCGTTTAACACCGCTCGTCACCTTGAACCCTATACTCCAGCCTCTGAACTTCAATCCACAAAAGCTCCAAACCCTCACTGTCGAACACACCCAAGCACAGACTTTAGTCACTTTACTCCTTTACTCCCCAAACCTCCAGGCCATGACCCGCATGCAGAGATTTCTCGCTGTTTTCGGTCCCGGACTTGCAGATTCTCCTTAACTGCTGTTCAGGGGGCGGGTTCTCAATTCTACACCTGAAACTTGAGCATTCTACTGCACATGGGCCCTCTAACATTACACATCCTTGTTTGACTGGTTCACCATGGCGCAGGGAATGCTGGGTTTTGTGGAACTATTGTACTGCAATCAAACATTGCTTTGTTTTTATTCATGCCATTGACCGGGCATCTCTCAAAGCTATCAGTGGGTTGAGATGTTTTCTATCAGTTGGCTTCCTGTATGGGGGATGTTTGCGACTTAGGTTCCGGGACCAGGATTCAAGTTGCTCAACATGGAAGGGGATTCCGTCGTAATGTCAACTTGCCAATGCCCATCACCCAGACCTTGCCGAGATCTGCAATTAGATCAATGGTTAACATCCACAACCTGATTACCAGGTTGTATCTTTGGGCCTTGCATCCTGCTATTTGGCCATGAGCTCCCTTTCAAAAGTTATTGTAGTGCAATAGTTGTCAGGGGCGTTATTGTTAGGTCTGGTCTGATACTTTGCTGTCATGGACGGAGCCATGCTGAATGTTCAAGCTATGGTTAATGCTAAGGGCACAGTCCCACCTGAATTCATGGTCAGGCTCATGATGCCACTGCTTCAGTCTTCTACACAGCATTGTGGTTGCTTGGGGAGCCTTCGCCCCTCCCATCTCCGCAGACCCCCCCCCCCCCCCACCGCCCCCCACCCCCCCACCCCTTAACATTAAATACTCCCACTATGTGGCATATTCTAATATGGATCAGGCACTTCGCGCGAAGTGGAAGTGCTGGACTGTTTCTCGTGCCCATGCACCGCATATAGTTAACAAACGACACACAAAGTATCGAGCCAAGCTTTGCATGAGAAAATGCCAGCTACACTCAGCCGGTCTTTTGAAATCTTCCTTTGGGCAATGGGTGCGGTAGCCTCAGGATTCTTGCCAAAGGCGCGGTTTGGGCATGGATGCTCTGGGAACTGTATGCTCTCAGGGATGAACGACACAAGCGTTCAGGGTTTAGGGGTTTAGGGTTTAGGGGTTAGTGTTTAGGGTTTAGGGGTTCTAGGGGTAGGGTTTAGGGTTTAAGGGTTCGGAACTGGACGTTGTCATGGTTTGAGCATGGTTGCCTTGGTAAACGAACACCATCGCGGATGAATGCGAATATGTTGTGGGCATGGATGCTCTGGGAAATAAGCCCTAAACCCTAAACCCTAAACCGTGGATGCGACTTGGCTTGGGGATGGAGTCTGGGCTGCTCCCCCTTAGGCCTTTTTTTTGGGCTTCTCCACCCCTCCCCCCACCTTGGTGCCATAGCCAAAAAATGATCGAGTACCCAAACCCTGCATTCTGTCAAATCGGCGTTCGCCTCTGACCATAAAGGCCCCTGCTTAATAAGTGTAAGGTTTTGAACTTAGAGTTGGGTACCGAAGATCGCGAACAACGGAAACCGATCAACTTGCAGCCACAATGCGAAACTACGCCTTGAACGTTACACGCTCTCTAGTCCGGACATGCAAGCCCCACGTAAGATATCAGAAGCAGATATACATCCCAGGATTCCACAAAAAGATTGTCAACAGACAGGGCGCATGTCACCCGCCCTCAATTTGATATGTCCTTTCAGGAGCCTTCTTTTTACATGGTGAGAGGTCCTGTATCTTGTTGCCGAGCTCAACTGTACTTTACCCTGATGGTTTGGTACTTCACATCAAGCAACGACCAAACCGAAAAGGAAAAAAAACTGAACTGACCAATGCATCCCAGTTGCAAGGACATTGAAAAGCTCGGTCATGCTATTCACAGATGCTCTATCCAAGATCTGGTAGGGGACGTGACCAGATTCCTCGAACTGGCGCATCTCTTCCTGAGGGATTTGCGGAGGAAGCCCTTAGGACCAGCAAATTGAAGCCAAAAACGCACATGGAGCAAGAACCGAGATTTCCTGTGGGATTCATTCTTGGTCATTCTTGGATGCTCTGGATTTGCAGGGTACGCTGCATTACTTCAAAAACCTTGAAGCCCCTTGCAAACCCTAAAACACTGAATGTCTGGAGTGGTAGTCGTACTGGGGTTTTGGCCTTACTTTAGCAAATAAAACCACTTGAGTAGACAGAATGAATATGGCTTTTGGCATACTATAACAAGATCCCCATATACCCCCTATTCTATCTACTCAAGGGGGACTATATGGGTCTTGAGTTTGGTTGAGGGCCTCGCTTCGGGCCAAGTACCCAATAATGGAGAATCAAATGGAAAACAAGATGGAAAATTACATGGAAACTGGGATAAGATAGGGGTAATACTAGGGTTATATAGGGGCTATGTAGGGTTATCTAGAGGTAATGGAAAAGATATGGAAACTACTATGGTACATGAAAAAAATATAGGGGTATATAGGGAGTAGGGTTTAGGGTCTATACATAGTTTAGAATTATGGTAGTTTCCACAACCAGGCCCTGACATGGACCCTAATAAGTATAAGATTACCCTTACTATAGGGACTCAGCCCAGACTCTAGAAACTCCTGAACGCTGATCCCAAACAACTGAGGGAAGAAGAAGCCTAAACTTAAACTTTATTCCATGAACCCAAAAAAACGATACCAACAGAAACTTCTTTTGCCGGCTAAACACGACGCTTCTATGGCAACCTCCAACCCAAGACCCTAAACCCAACCCTAGAACCTGAACCCTAATCGCCAAACCCCACACCCTAATCCCTAAACCTGAACCCTTAAACCCCAACCCCAAACCTCTAAGCCCTAATCTCTACACCCTAAAGCCTCATCCCTAAACCCTAAATCCTAAATCCTAAACTCTACATCCCAAACCCCAAACCCTAATTCCTAAACCCCAAGTTCAAAGGTTAAAACCATGGGCCCTTAGTATGGGTCCTTAACCCTGGGATCCTTATATACCTACTATATACCCTATATGTACCCTTAAGGGCCCCTAGAATCCCCCTAAAAAATCCTAAGGGCCCATATTAGGGACCCATACTTCTACCCTTTGACCCTAAACCCTAAACCCTTAAAGTCTTAAGAGCGAAGCTTCGATGGCAAGCTCGCCGCTCCCATCCGCGTCGGCTTCGTCGAACAGCTCCAGGATCCTTTTCGGGGTTTAGGGGTTTTAGGGGTTTAGGGTTTGGGGGTTTAGGGTTTAGGGGTTCAGGGGTTTAGGGTTTGGGGGTTTAGGTTTTTAGGGTTTGGGGGTTTAGGATTTAGGGGTTTTGGGTTTAGGGGTTCAGGGGTTTAGGGTTCGGGGTCTAGGGTTTAGGGTTCAGGGTTTAGGGTTTAGGGCTGAGAAAGTCTCCTATGTAGCCATGTCCATCAAGTATGTGGATAGTACTCCTATGTAATCCCCGCATAACCCCAATATACACCCTAGTATACCATAGCAGTTACATTTTCCATAGTTCCTTGAGAAGGAGACCCGAACACATCTGGCCAAGGGTTTAGGGTTTAGAGCTTAAAGTTTAGGGTTCAGGGCTTAGGCATCCGGCCAAGGATCTCGGGAAGCATGTGCTGCGTGCTGACGCTCTTGAGCCTCTCCTCTGACTCTCTTTTCCAGTTTGAGGTTTTTAGGGTCTTAAAACCTAAACCCTACTGGAGTTTGGTGCGTAGGGTTTAGGGTTTAGCACCGTGGGTTCATTTTTGCTGCTGCCCCGTACGACGTCCTTCCCACTGTTTGAAGACGCCTTGTAACAAGGCCTTTTTCGGAAGGTGAGGACAGCCGGAGGCTGAGCCTAAGAGTTTAGGGTTTTCGGGTTTAGGGTTTGGGGCATGGTTGCTGTTAAGGGTTTGGGCTTGGGGGCTAAGACCCTGGGTTTGGCACTTACAGTTTAAGAGGGTTGGGGTGGAGCTGGATGCATTCCCTTTCCAAATTTACCCGGATGGTTTGGACGCAAAGAGAGGGGGCAAATGCTTCCGACATCCCTGAAGTGCATGCGGAATGTCTGCAAACCCCTGTGAAGCATGAACAGGGCTATATATGCGAAAATATGTTTTGGAAGCTGCCAGAAGAGGAAACTCTGCCAAATCAAACGAAGTACTCCACTCTGTAGAAGCACCCCTCCGCTCAGGGCTTCTGGGGATCAACAGCCTCCACAATTGCTAGTTGGGTCTTATGTACCATTCGGCAAGGTCACCCAGCGACCTTGTCCTGTTCACGCGAAGGTTCATGGAAAGTACCCTTTAGAGCTAAGAGTATATGGGAACCATGTTTTTCTCAAAAGCCGGGCTCCTCCTCCTGTCGCAATAGCCGGGCATTCTCCAGGGTGCCTTCTACTAATGCCGCCGTTACAAGGTTCATCACCGAGATAGAGATGATGAAGATCCTCAGCCAGTATTTCATGTTTTCGCGTGTGGGAAAATCTACCCAACTGCGCTGTCCCGAAGGACCCACTCTGGAAGAAAAAATGTTGAAGACCCGAAGGACCCACTCTGGAAGAGATATATGTTGAAGACAACAACAGAAAACAAACAAAGAAACACAAAACTAGGTGGACCCCCCACCCTGCTTTAGTGACTATAAGGGACATTAAGGATTTGACTAGACAATATTCCTATTATACCGCTATTGCAGGGTGGGGGGTTCCTCATGACAAAAAACATGCTTCACCCGGAACCTTAACCCTAAACCCTAAAACCCTAAAACTCTAAACCCTAAACTAAAAGAAACAAAGAACAAAAAAAAACTTCCAGGAAGATCCTGGGGTCAGCATCGTGAAGTAGAGCATCAGCCATGGCTGGATCCTGACCGGACGGAAGGTTCCATAGCTGAAGATGCTTAGGCTTTAGGGTTTAGGTCAGGAACTTAGGGACGCAGGACTTAGGATTTAGGATTTGTAATATTAGGGCTTCTGGGTCTTGGATCCAAGATTTCAGGACTGAGGATTTAGGTTTTGGTGTTCAAGGTTTAGGCTCTATGGGCTCAGGATTTCGGGTGTAGAGTTGAGGGCTCAGGGCCCAAAATCCAGGATTTAGGTTT